CTCTCGCGGACTGGAATCCTGTGAGCGGCACTGGTAGCTGCATACTGCGCTTGCTATCATCTTCAAAACTGAACAACTTACGTGACTGAGCTCCTTTCGTGTCGGATGAAATGTAATAGTAGACTCCTTGAGCACGCGCCGTTTTTAACAAATTTCCTATACTTGGAAAGAACCTGCAATTCCCAACACAGCAGTGAAGCATTGATTATAAAAAAAATTCGCATGATACCAACTTCGGTAACTCTTTCGGTAGCTCTTTCGTCAGGACTTTCGGCACCTCTGGCTTTGATGAGGGAGGGTTCAAGGCTTTTGTCAAGGGATTTCCACAGACCTTCGTTTTCGCCGCTTCTTTTTGTCGCAGTTCTAGTGCGGCCTTTGCTCCTGCTGTCTCCGCTTCTGCCCCTAATCGTTCAAGTTCTCTGTCCATCTCAGGAATACCAGGCCAAGTATAACCGCCGTCGCTACGTCCGGGACGTTTAACATCTCGAAAAATTTTCGGCAGCTTCCCGAATTTCGAGGTCTTCGACAGCGAAGGAATATTCGAAACTAATGGATTCCAACCTTGAAGCTTCCCAACTCCCGATTGAGCTAAAATATGTCTCAGTGAGCATGTGAGGAAAGATGTGAGTGTAGAATAGAATACTCACCTAATTTATCAAACACAAATGACTTTATATTCGGAAGTTGTTTCCCTTTCTTGAGCGGATACTTCTTCAAGTGATAGCCGAGATTCACCAGCTGAAAGACGGAACAAAACAGGAAGCTCAGTGTATAGATAAGTTGACAGCCTGATTACCCGGAGAAGCTGCATATTGCCTACAGCATTCTTCAACTCAGCCAGTGGGATTTCTCTCAAATGTAGGTAATCTCGATAAGCCATTTCTGATGGCGGCAATTCAATGACCCCAGCTTTTGATGTAGCAGATGGCTGAAATTTTGTTCAGGTGATGCAATAAGTTATTTATGCAACACTATATTATGATGATACTATCTTAACGTAATATTCATTACTTTGTCTTTGCTTCACTTTTCATAAAATAAAAGGATTTGGAGACTCAACTTGGTTTCACTTCCTCAAAGAGTGGTTTAATTACAATGCAAAATCTGAAGAGG